CTGAGGGTGCTGAAACCCCTCGTAGATGCTGAAGGTGGTGGAACATCTCATGGATGTGCTGAGGGTGCTGAAACCCCTCATAGATACTGAAGGTGGTGGAACATCTCATGGGTGTGCTGAAGGTGGTGGAACATCTCATGGGTGTGCTGAGGGTGGTGGAACATCTCATGGGTGTTGAAGGTGGTGGAACCTCTCATGGGTGTGCTGAGGGTGGTGGAACATCTCATGGGTGTTGAAGGTGGTGGAACCCCTCATGGGTGTGCTGAGGGTGATGGAGCTTTTCGTGGGTGCTGGAACATCTCATGGGTGTGCTGAGGGTGCTGAAACACCTCGTAGATGCTGAAGGTGGTGGAACATCTCATGGGTGTGCTGAAGGTGCTGAAACCCCTCATAGATGTTGAAGGTGCTGAAACCCCTCATAGATACTGAAGGTGGTGGAACATCTCATGGGTGTGCTGAAGGTGCTGAAACCCCTCATAGATGCTGAAGGTGGTGGAACATCTCATGGGTGTGCTGAGGGTGCTGGAACCCCTCATAGATGCTGAAGGTGGTGGAACATCTCACGGGTGTGCTGAGGGTGCTGAAACCCCTCATAGATACTGAAGGTGGTGGAACATCTCATGGGGGTGCTGAGGGTGCTGAAACCCCTCATGGGTGTGCTGAGGGTGCTGGAACCCGTCATAGATGCTGAAGGTGGTGGAACATCTCATGGATGTGCTGAGGGTGCTGGAACCCCTCATAGATGCTGAAGGTGGTGGAACATCTCATGGGTGTGCTGAGGGTGCTGGAACCCCTCATAGATGCTGAAGGTGGTGGAACATCTCATGGGTGTGCTGAGGGTGCTGAAACCCCTCGTAGATGCTGAAGGTGCTGGAAGCCCTCATAGATGCTGAAGGTGGTGGAACATCTCATGGGTGTGCTGAGGGTGCTGGAACCCCTCATAGATGCTGAAGGTGGTGGAACATCTCATGGGTGTGCTGAGGGTGCTGAAACCCCTTATAGATGCTGAAGGTGGTGGAACATCTCATGGATGTGATGAGGGTGCTGAAACCCCTCATGGGTGTGCTGAGGGTGCTGAAACCCCTTATAGATGCTGAAGGTGGTGGAACATCTCATGGATGTGATGAGGGTGGTGGAACATCTCATGGGTGTTGAAGGTGGTGGAACATCTCATGGGTGTTGAAGGTGGTGGAACATCTCATGGGTGTGCTGAGGGTGCTGGAACCCCTCATGGATGTTGAAGGTGGTGGAACATCTCATGGGTGTGCTGAGGGTGCTGAAACCCCTCATGGGTGCACCGGAGCCCCTCATGGGTGTACTGGAGCCCCTCATGGGTGTCCTGAGGGTGCTGAAACCCCTCATGGGTGTACCAGAGCCCCTCATGGGTGCACCGGAGCCCCTCATGGGTGTACCGGAGCCCCTCATGGGTGTACCAGAGCCCCTCATGGGTGTACCTGAGCCCCTTATGGGTGTCCCGGAGCGCCTCATGGGTGCTGAAACCCCTCATGGGTGTGCTCAGGGTGCTGAAACCCCTCATGGATGTGCTGAAACCCCTCATGGGTGTGCTGAGGGTGCTGAAACCCCTCATGGGTGTGCTCAGGGTGCTGAAACCCCTCATGGGTGCACCGGAGCCCCTCATGGGTGTACCGGAGCCCCTCATGGGTGTACCGGAGCCCCTCATGGGTGCACCGGAGCCCCTCCCGGGCGTACCGGAGCCCCTCATGGGTGTGCTGAGGGTGCTGAAACCCCTCATGGATGTGCTGAAACCCCTCATGGGTGTACTGAAACCCCTCATGGGTGTGCTGAGGGTGCTGAAACCCCTCATGGGTGTACCAGAACCCCTCATGGGTGTACTGGAGCCCCTCATGGTTGTACCGGAGCCCCTCATGGGTGTACCGGAGCCCCTCATGGGTGTACCGGAGCCCCTCATGGGTGTACCGGAGCCCCTCATGGGTGTACCGGAGGCCCTCATGGGTGCACCGGAGCCCCTCATGGGTGCACCGGAGCCCCTCCCGGGCCCCTCCCGGGTGTACCGGAGCCTCTCCCGGGTGTGTGGGAGCCCCTCATGGGTGTACCGGAGCCCCTCATGGTTGTACCGGAGCCCCTCATGGGTGCACCAGAGCCCCTCATGGGTGTGTTGAGGGTGCTGAAACCTCTCATGGGTGTGCTGAGGGTGCTGAAACCCCTCATGGGTGCACCGGATCCCCTCACGGGTGTACCGGAGCCCCTCATGGGTGTGCTGAGGGTGCTGGAGCTTTTCGTGGGTGCTGAAACCCCTCATGGATGTACCAGATCCCCTCATGGATGTGCTGAAACCCCTCATGGGTGTACTGGAACCCCTCATGGGTGTGTGGGAGCCCCTCATGGGTGTACCGGAGCCCCTCATGGGTGTACCGGAGCCCCTCATGGGTGTACCGGAGCCCCTCATGGGTGTGCTGAGGGTGCTGAAACCCCTCATGGGTGTGTGGGAACCCCTCATGGGTGCACCGAAGCCCCTCATGGGTGTACCGGAGCCCCTCATGGGTGTGTGGGAGCCCCTCATGGATGTGCTGAGGGTGTTAAAACCCCTCATGGGTGCACCGGAGCCCCTCATGGGTGTGCTGAGGGTGCTGAAACCCCTCATGGGTGTACCGGAGCCCCTCATGGGTGTACCGGAGCCCCTCATGGATGTGCTGAGGGTGCTGGAGCCCCTCATGGGTGTGCTGAAACCCCTCATGGGTGCACCAGAGCCCCTCATGGGTGCACCAGAGTCCCTCATGGGTGCACCAGAGTCCCTCATGGGTGCACCGGAGTCCTTCATGGGTGTACTGAAACCCCTCACGGGTGCACCAGAGCCCCTCATGGATGTGCTGAAACCCCTCATGGGTGCACCGGAGCCCCTCATGGGTGCACCGGAGCCCCTCATGGGTGTGCTGAGGGTGCTGAAACCCCTCATGGGTGCACCGGAGCCCCTCATGGGTGCACCGGAGCCCCTCATGGGTGTACCGGAGCCCCTCATGGGTGTGCTGAGGGTGTTGGAGCTTTTCGTGGGTGCTGAAACCCCTCATGGGTGCACCGGAGCCCCTCATGGGTGTACCGGAGCCCCTCATGGGTGTGCTGAAACCCCTCATGGGTGTACCGGAACCCCTCATGGATGTGCTGAGGGTGCTGAAACCCCTCATGGGTGCACCGGAGCCCCTCATGGGTGCACCGGAGCCCCTCATGGGTGCACCAGAGCCCCTCATGGATGTCCTGAGGGTGCTGAAACCCCTCATGGGTGCTGAAACCCCTCATGGGTGCTGAAACCCCTCATGGGTGCACCGGAGCCCCTCATGGGTGTACCGGAGCCCCTCATGGGTGTACCGGAGCCACTCATGGTTGTGCTGAAGCCCCTCATGGGTGTACCAGAACCCCTCATGGGTGTGCTGAAACCCCTCATGGGTGCACCAGAGCCCCTCATGGGTGTACCGGAGCCCCTCATGGATGTGCTGAGGGTGTTAAAACCCCTCATGGGTGTACCGGATCCCCTCCCGGGTGTACCGGAGCCTCTCTCGGGCCTCTCCCGGGTGCACCGGAGCCTCTCCCGGGCCCCTCCCGGGTGCACCGGAGCCCCTCATGGATGTACCGGATCCTCTCCCGGGTGTACCGGAGCCTCTCCCGGGTGTACCGGAGCCTCTCCCGGGCCCCTCCCGGGCGTACCGGAGCCCCTCCCGGGTGTACCCGCGGTCCCCCTGAGGCCTCTCCACCCTCACCCCACCCCAACCCCGCGGGCCGCACTTTAGGCCCAACCACCTCCCTCCATCTTGTAGGCCCCACCGCTTCCTCCTCCTCCTCCTCTTCCTCCTCCTCCTCCTCCTCCTCCTCCTCCTCCTCCTCCTCCTCGTCGTCATTGTCTGTGAGGGGCGTTTATAAGGCGGCGGGCATTGCCCGGATGTGATCGCCGGGCGATGCGGCTGCCCGGGCGGGACGCGAGCGGCCGCGGCTCGCCGGGGGAGGCCGCGCTGCTGAGCCGGAGGAAGCGGCGGCCGCTGCTTTAAACTTCCACCAAGTTGCTTCAACGCGTTCCCCCAAAGCGGGACTCATCTATTTTTTAATTTTTTTTCCGAATTTTGTGGTTTTTATTGTGTTTTTTTGGGTTTTTTTCAAGCGCGGATAAGGTGGGGGTAACTCCCCTCAGAGCTGCCGCGCTGCGAGCTCCGTCACCATGTGTCTGTAAAAACAATAGGGCAAAACTTTTTGGACCTTCTTTTTTGCTTTTTTTCAATTTTTTCATAATTTTTTAATTTTTATTTTTTAAACCTAATTTATATTCTTTTTTTTTTCTAACCGGGCCCCCCCAAAATCCCAACAAAGCCAAGTGTAGTGTGCCTGTAAAGCTGTGGAATAACCTGGAGCAGGAGTGACACTTTCCCTAATTTTTGGTGGTTTTGGAGGGTCACACACGTGTGAGACAATAAAGCACTTTGGCAGAAGATTCCTCTTTTTATTTCTTTTTTTTTTTTTCCCCCATTGGAATATTGTGAACATATTTGTGGCCATTTAAGGTAAAGTTCCGATTTGCTGTTAGACTAACTTGTCTGTGTTTTTTCTTTTTTTTTTTTTTATTTTTTTCATTAAAATTGTCGATCCCGATATGTTATTTAAAAAAAAAAACGTAAAGAAAAAAAAAAGTGCAAGTTCCGGGCTGTGTAAATCTATACATTGTATATACTACACGTGTGATACACCAAAGTGCAAACTCGCTGCTTTATTTCCTGCCGGAAAATGAACTTTGGGGAGTTATTTTTTAGCAGAGAGAGGGGAAAAAAAATATGAAATAAAAGTGATAAAGAAGGGGAGGGAAGTGGAGGGGGGGGTGGTAATACCCCCAAAAACTTCCGCGTAAATCCACGGGGCTGCTTTGCAAAGTTTGCACTGGAAAAGTAAAAAAAAATAAAAATAAAAAGACGAAAACAACTTAATCCAAAGGGAAAAAAATATATAAATATTGTTCTTTTCGGCCAAACGCCCGCGTGACGTGCGTGTTATAAACGCGAATGCAGCGTGGAGCTCCACGAGCGGCGGGAGGGGAGCGCGGAGCTCCGCGAGGCGAGCGCGGAGCTCCACGAGCCGCGAGGCGAGCGCGGAGCTCCACGAGCCGAGCGCGGAGCTCCACGAGCCGAGCGTGGAGCTCCACGAGCGGCGCGAACCGAGCGCGGAGCTCCGCGAACAGCGGGAGCGGAGCGCGGAGCTCCACGAAGCGGCTCCGCGAGGCAGCGCGGAGCTCCACGAGCCGAACGCGGAGCTCCACGAGCCCAACGCGGAGCTCCACGAAGCGGCTGCGGGTACGGAGGCGGCAGCTCCGCGCCCCTTTTCCCTCTTTTCCTTCCCCTCCCCCCGAACGCTGCGGCCGCACAGGCCCGAACCTCGTTATGGGCCTTCTCCTCTTAGCTAATTAACAACCGCAGCTAATTATCCTCCGCCCCCCCCCCCTCTGTGGATTCTACACTTCGCGTCTCGCCGTTTCTTTATTTTTCTCTTCATTTTTTACCTCCCAACGTTACTTTTTTTGTGTGGAATAAGAAGAAGGGAAAAAGTTGGCAGCGGATTCTGTAGTTTCTTCTCATTCATTCCTCCTTGAACCTCCTGTTGCATAAATGATGCTCCGAGAGAGAAAATTTGTATTTTTTTGTCTCTTCTGGATTTGGGTTTAATAGTGGATGTTCGTCTATTTGGAATTATAATATTGTTGTTTTTTTTATTTTATTTTTTTTCCGCTTGTTGTCGTGTATTTTGATTTTTTTTGGTTTTTTTTTGCTGTCTCTCCATCTTTTTTTTTTTTTTTTTCCCCTCCCTTCTTCTTCTTCTCAACCACCCACTCCCCCCCCCCTCCCTTTTTAAAAAAATCAAAATTTGATTGTTTTTCCTTCAAGGCTTTGAATTTCTGATTGCAATTATTATTATTATTTCCATGTTTCTAGGTTTGTGTGATTTTTACTAAAAATGCATCACCAACAGCGAATGGCTGCCTTAGGGACGGACAAAGAACTCAGTGATTTACTGGATTTCAGTGCGGTAAGAAATTAGTAACAGATGTAAAAAAAAATATAAATTTTAGTAACAAAAAAACCAAAAATCCAGCCAAAAAAAAAAGCAATAAAACCAACCCCAAACTGTGCTTTAAGTACATTGAGCAATTTTTAATTTGTAAATATTTTTTTGGCTTTTTTTAATAAAAAAATAAATCCAAACTGAATATTTTTAGTTATTCTGATTAGAGGTTCGTAGTTTACTTTAATGTCTCGGACCTTTTAAATAATTCCTGCCAAAAAAAACACCCCAAAAAATGATAATTTCTCATCATTCCCTCATACTTATATTGCACTTTTGATTTTCAAGCCTTGTTAATTAATTAATTACTAATAACTCACTGATATTCTCCTTTTGCTCCTTCCCTTATTTCAATTTTAGCACAGAAAAAGTGCAAAAAAATCCACGAGTGCATCAGTTAAAAGTTTTTTTTTAATCCCCTCTGATTTTTATTGGTATAAAACCACTTTGAGCTTCTTGTGGGTGCTTTAATCAGAATTTTGGAGCGATTTTTGATGAAAAAATGAGATTTTTATGCCAATTTTGGGGGCAGAACGTGTAATTTTGTCATCTCCCCCTCCCCCTTCCTTCCTCTCCCCATCCCCCCAATATATCACGAATTTTTATTTATTTATCCACTCATTTATTTATTTTAACGAACATTTTTTTTTAATAGATGCACATCCCCTCCTAAAACCCACCAAATCTTTATTTTTTCCCACATTTTTGCTGTTCCAACCTCATTTTTTTAAGTGATATCTCGTGAAAATTCAACCAAAAATCACATTTTAAAGCATCACCTCACCCCTTTTTTTTGCTTTTTGCTGCGTTTTTCCCATTTAATTTTGAATTTTTTTGCTGTTTTTCACTCGAGGAAGGTCTTAAAAGGGAAAAACCAATTAGGATCGAAATAATTTTGAGAAGAGAGAGAGAGAGGAGTGAAAAAAAAAAAGGGAGGGAGAGGGGGCGAGGAATGATTCTTCCTTCCAATTAAAACGCACGAAATGAGAATTTAGAATTTAGGGGCAGGTGGTACTTTGAATTATTATTATTATTTTTATTCCCTGGAGCGGAATTCAAACGGATATTCCCACGTTGATGATTAAGGTTAAAACCCATTTTTAACTTTTTTTCTGATTTTTTTATATGGATTTTTCCACATTATTGGATTATTTAGGGATTTAATAAGGTTGATAAAAAAGGGATTTTGGATTTTTTTGGATTTTTGGGGGATGTGACAACAACTTCAAACTGGATTTGTGAATTTTTTATTTTTCTCACTATTAATTCCTATTTATTTTTATTTTTTTTTAGATGTTTTCACCTCCTGTGAGCAGCGGAAAAAATGGACCAACTTCTTTGGCAAGTGGACATTTTACTGCCTCAAGTATGTACATTTTTTTGTTCCATTTATAGCCAAACGTATAGAATTTATTTATCCTATAGGTATTATCTTTGTTGTGGTGCTTTAATCTCTTGTGAGGATCAGATTAATTCGGAATTATTCTGATTTTTAGTATTATTATTATTATTTTTAATATTATTTCCACCTCTAATTTTTTAAAAACCCCCCTGAACTTCTCTTCTTTAATAATTCCTTAAAATAATTCTAATTTTACACTAAATTTATCATTTAATTTTGAATAATTTTATAATTTCCAACCCCAAACCTTCTCTTTGTCTATCAGGGACCATATTCAAAACCTCTTATATGCAAATTAATTTTATGTGTTATAATTAAAGCAGAACGAGGCTGTTGCAATTAAAATTTATCCAAAAAAAAAACTCTTTATGATTAGAAAAATCTGTTACTGATGGAATATTTTTTAGAAATTAAAATATTTAATTGCTTTTTAAAGAATTTTGGTTTGAAATATGAATATTTTGGAATATTTTGGCTGTGGGGCGTCTCCCAAAAACAGGATGACAAAAGCATCTTCAGTGTTTATTTGGACAATAATTAAATAATTAATTAGGGTTAATTAAAGTTTCTCGAGGGGTTTTTTATGTGATTTTATGATAAATTAGAATTCCCAAAAATCTCTGATCCATGAGGGAAATTTGGGTAAAACTTCCTTGCAGAAATCTCCATATTTACGGGTTTTATAATGCAGTGCGCCACTCATTAATTCAATATTTTATTAATTAAACCATAATTAACATCATTTAGTTTTTAATCCCAGCTGGAATTCTTTATTTTACACCTTTTATTCTATTTAAACTTTCAAAATAACAACATAAATTTATTTTATCATCACAAACTTGCTTATATCACGAGCTACCAACTTATAGAATTTTGCTGTTGGGTTAAAATAACTTTCCATATATTTTCTATAGGTTAAAATCTCAATTTTTATAATTTTCTGATATAATTTTTAAAGAGATAAGGTTGGATTTAAAATCTCCACTTTATTTGTTTTTATTGGAGTGGAAATTAATTTGTCACGCTCAGAGCTCAATCCATACATCAGACAGAAAATATATACATTTTATAAATTAATATAATTTTATAAATGAATATAAATTAATAAATTCTATTTATTACCTACTCTTAAAACTCTTTTCTGGAATAATTTAGATCAGGAGGACAAATTAGAACAAATAAATTGAATTTTGAAGCTGAAGGAACCGCAGAGATTTTGTCTCATCATCACGTAACGAGGAAAATTAATTAATGAGCTGCAGGAAATTAAGAATAATGAGATAAAAATAAATTAAAACAACACCTAAACTCTGTTAAAGGATAAAATTCCAAAATAATTTTGTGGGTGTGGTGGTTGTGCACAATTTGTGTCAAAATTGAGATAAATTCCCACCTAAAATATCAATAAAATATAATTTTCCTTCCCCAAAAAATTGATAATTAATTATTTACCCAGGCAGGGAAAATTAGGATTAAATTTGAGAATATCAGGATAATTTCTGTGATATTCTAATTATGCAAATCGCTAACGAGGAATTACAATCGGCGGGTCGGGCGCTGCTTTTCCACCTGGAAATTCTCCCTTTAAAATGATTTAAAAATAAATTTATTGAGATTTTTTACATTAACAGCATTAATTCCTAATTAATAATAATCCTATTTAAAAAGTGATTTAATAGCTGTTATTTCAATTAAATAATACACATTAATTGCATTGAGGTGGGGGGTTAATTTTTATTTTTTTTTGCTTTGTTCGCCCTTTTTTGGGACAATTGCCAAAAAAAAAATTGATTTTCCCTCAAGAATATTTTAATTTTTTTATCTATTAATCAAAACCCACATTTTATTGATTCTATTTAAATTTTCTATTTAAAATTTGGAATTTTACCTCGATTTTGGAGAATCTGTTTTGGATGTTTGGGTGGGAGAAAAATCAGAAAAAAAAAGAAATTTTTCTCATTTCCCAGAAAAAAAAAGGGAAAAAAAATCCAATTTTTACCTGATCAAATCAAGTAAATTCAATTTAAATTATTTAAATCCTCATTTTTTTATTTTGCCATTAGTTTGATTAAAGCTTGGCCTGTATTAAAACAACTAATTAATAACCTTTAACGAGGAAATAACAAATCCAACGCGGTTTAAATTCTTTATTTTTTTAATTTGGGATGTTTAACGAGGAAATTATTATGAATATTTTGATTTTTTTTGGAATATAATTTATTTGGGGTTTTGGTGGCAAAAATACCACTAAAAAAATAAAAAATAAATGAGATTTTAGAGTAAAAATCTGCTTTAAAAATTAATCTGTTGTGCTCCACAAAGGGAAAAAATCCCATTTTTTAGGGCCAAAAAATTTGGAATTTTGGGTGTTGAGCAAAAATTCCGACTCCCAATTAATTATTTTAATATATAATTAATTATTTATATATATATTGATCATTATTTGCATATTTTCCATATGTAGGAAGTCAAAAAGATTTAAATTCCATCTTTTGGATGATGTAAAATGAAAATTAAATTGAATTTTAAATTTAAATTTTTTTTTTTTTGGGATCAACAAATGTGTTATTTTTATTTAATTTAAATAATTATATATATATATATATATATATATATATATAATTATATATATATAATTTAAATAAAACAGGAAAAATTAAGCAATGCACGTATAGAAAGGGATTAATGTATGGAATTTATGGTGTTAATTACTGAAATCTCTGTGGATTTTGATATTTAAATTTATTAATTAATTATAAATTAATTTTTAAATTTTAATAATTTATTTTTTGAGCAAAAACTGGTAGAAAAAAACTGGAGAGGTGCGAAAAAACGGTGAAAAAAGGTGAAAAAATGGCATTTTTTGGGTGAATTTTGGGCACAGAACTGGCATTGATGTGGGCACCACGTTGGCACACACTGACCCTGACATGGGCACAGGGTTGGCACACACTGACCCTGACATGGGCACCACGTTGGCACACACTGACCCTGACATGGGCACCACGTTGGCACAGCCTGACCCTGACATGGGCACAGGGTTGGCACAGCCTGACCCTGACATGGGCACAGGGTTGGCACACACTGACCCTGACATGGGCACAGGGTTGGCACACACTGACCCTGACATGGGCACAGGGTTGGCACAGCCTGACCCTGACATGGGCACCACGTTGGCACAGCCTGACCCTGACATGGGCACAGGGTTGGCACACACTGACCCTGACATGGGCACAGGGTTGGCACAGCCTGACCCTGACATGGGCACAGGGTTGGCACACACTGACCCTGACATGGGCACAGGGTTGGCACAGCCTGACCCTGACATGGGCACAGGGTTGGCACAGCCTGACCCTGACATGGGCACAGGGTTGGCACACACTGACCCTGACATGGGCACAGGGTTGGCACAGCCTGACCCTGACATGGGCACAGGGTTGGCACACACTGACCCTGACATGGGCACAGGGTTGGCACAGCCTGACCCTGACATGGGCACAGGGTTGGCACAGCCTGACCCTGACATGGGCACCACGTTGGCACACACTGACCCTGACATGGGCACCACGTTGGCACACACTGACCCTGACATGGGCACAGGGTTGGCACAGCCTGACCCTGACATGGGCACAGGGTTGGCACACACTGACCCTGACATGGGCACAGGGTTGGCACACACTGACCCTGACATGGGCACAGGGTTGGCACAGCCTGACCCTGACATGGGCACAGGGTTGGCACAGCCTGACCCTGACATGGGCACAGGGTTGGCACACACTGACCCTGACATGGGCACCACGTTGGCACACACTGACCCTGACATGGGCACAGGGTTGGCACAGCCTGACCCTGACATGGGCACAGGGTTGGCACACACTGACCCTGACATGGGCACAGGGTTGGCACAGCCTGACCCTGACATGGGCACAGGGTTGGCACACACTGACCCTGACATGGGCACAGGGTTGGCACACACTGACCCTGACATGGGCACCACGTTGGCACAGCCTGACCCTGACATGGGCACAGGGTTGGCACACACTGACCCTGACATGGGCACAGGGTTGGCACACACTGACCCTGACATGGGCACAGGGTTGGCACACACTGACCCTGACATGGGCACAGGGTTGGCACACACTGACCCTGACATGGGCACAGGGTTGGCACACACTGACCCTGACATGGGCACAGGGTTGGCACACACTGACCCTGACATGGGCACAGGGTTGGCACACACTGACCCTGACATGGGCACAGGGTTGGCACACACTGACCCTGACATGGGCACAGGGTTGGCACAGCCTGACCCTGACATGGGCACAGGGTTGGCACACACTGACCCTGACATGGGCACCACGTTGGCACACACTGACCCTGACATGGGCACAGGGTTGGCACACACTGACCCTGACATGGGCACAGGGTTGGCACACACTGACCCTGACATGGGCACAGGGTTGGCACAGCCTGACCCTGACATGGGCACAGGGTTGGCACACACTGACCCTGACATGGGCACAGGGTTGGCACAGCCTGACCCTGACATGGGCACAGGGTTGGCACACACTGACCCTGACATGGGCACAGGGTTGGCACAGCCTGACCCTGACATGGGCACAGGGTTGGCACAGCCTGACCCTGACATGGGCACAGGGTTGGCACACACTGACCCTGACATGGGCACAGGGTTGGCACACACTGACCCTGACATGGGCACAGGGTTGGCACAGCCTGACCCTGACATGGGCACAGGGTTGGCACACACTGACCCTGACATGGGCACAGGGTTGGCACACACTGACCCTGACATGGGCACAGGGTTGGCACAGCCTGACCCTGACATGGGCACAGGGTTGGCACAGCCTGACCCTGACATGGGCACCACGTTGGCACACACTGACCCTGACATGGGCACAGGGTTGGCACACACTGACCCTGACATGGGCACAGGGTTGGCACAG